TTATTCATTTTCCTTTTTTTTTTTTTTTGAGATTAATATGTAGATTTGTTTGTGGTTGATTGTGTAATCAGCAAGGTAACGCACCTTATTTTGGGTGCATTGTGGGACGGGTGGCGAACAGAATCAAGGAGGGCAAGTTTACTCTTAATGGGGTTGAATACTCCTTGCCTATTAACTATCCCCCAAGCAGCCTTCATGGTATGAAATTCATTCTTGACATTTCAATCTTTCTGTTGTGTCTGGTATAGCTTGAAAATTGTCTTTTTATGTCATATTCATGATAATTTCATGGTTCAATTCAATCCATTATTATTATTATTATTATTATTATTATTATTGGTTCAAGCTTTCATGTTATTGACCGTGTTTATTGATTTGGTTGAGGTTTTATGAGTGTTAGTCTGGTGGAGATGTCTCTGAAGCATGTTTTTTGGTGTCAAATTTTAGCACTGGCTATGAATAATGTCACCAGCTGCAGCATCCATCTGCTCTGGTCACTGTTTTCCACAGATTATTCATTGATTTAGATTGAGATCTTAAGTTGTTTTGGTTTACTTTGTTACCAACTGAAGAGTCATCATAACTGCTTCTGCTTTTGCATACTGATCTTCTTAACAAACTGATAGAGGGAGCAAATTCAAAGCAGCTATTCAATTATTGCGCTTGCATTTACAAGAGCATCATCTTTAAAACGTAGAAAATTTTCCTTTGAGGATGGAGTTAATACCTAGTACTACTAGTGAACAGTTGAACAGTTTTTCTTTTGTTTGTCCAACAGTGAGTTTAAATCTATCAACTTTCCTATTTTAGTAGTGTTTCTGAAGGAAAATGTAAAAACAGCTTTTATTCCTTCTATATATCTTTTTCTTTCCTTCCTTTAGGTGGGAACAAGGGTTTTGACAAGAAGATATGGGAGGTAGTAGAAAATACGAAAGGCCAGCACCCTTCCATTACTTTCAAATATCACAGTTGTGATGGTGAGGAAGGTATGTTCTCTTCCCCTCTCTCTCTCTGAGTGCTTGTGCACATGTGCTTCTCTCTCCCTAATTTCAGTGTTCTTCTTTTAAAAGGTTACCCTGGAGATCTTTCTGTAACTGCAACTTATACACTTGTTTCAAGCACAACTATGAGACTTGACATGTACGCAGTGCCTAAGAACAAGCCCACGCCAGTTAGCTTAGCTCAGCACACCTACTGGAACTTAGCTGGCCACAACTCAGGAAGCATACTAGACCATTCAATTCAGATTTGGGGATCACACATCACTACTCTGGATCAGAACAGTGTCCCAACTGGTGAAATCAAGCCAGTTAAAGGCACTCCCTTTGACTTCACAACAGAGAAGAAGATAGGTGCATCTATACTTGAGGTTCCTGGCTTAGGATACGATCATAACTATGTCCTTGACTGTGGCGAAGAAAAGTCAGGGTTGAAACATGCTGCAAAGCTGAAGGACCCATCAAGCTCAAGAGTCCTTAACTTGTGGACTGATGCCCCTGGAATGCAGCTGTACACCGGTAACCTTGTTAATGGGGTTGTTGGGAAAGGAGGCGCTGTTTATGAAAAGCATGCAGGAGTATGCTTGGAGACACAAGGCTTTCCAAATGCCATAAACCAATCAAATTTCCCATCCGTCATCGTTCAGCCTGGTAAGAAGTACAGTCAAACCATGTTGTTCGAGTTTTCAGTTGAGTAATGTATATTCATCTTTTGGGGGTATATGGGGCAATAAGGTATGCTTTATTTTTTCTTGCTTCTTCCATGGATGTTGAGTTTGTGGTACTTTCTAGTAATAATGTTGTGAGAATTACGTGCAGAAGCTCTTTTCTAATAAAGGAAAATGTTTATGAATTATAACACTTGCCTCCATGGATGAGCCTGAGTAGGGGTCGAAGATCTACATTATCCTTATCCTGTTCTCCCGATACCCTTCAGTAATTTTTTACCATTAGTTGGACCATAAACTTTCAAGTGAAAATATACATCATATAGCAAAGGGAGCCTCCAGTGTCTTAACTGGTTGGTACCATGAAAGTGATATAGAACCGTTTATGCTGTATGGCCAAAATAAAAATGTTGATGCTCAGGGAAAAAAAGGCCTTAACTTTAGGCAAACACGCATGAAATCTCCAAGCCACCACCGATGCAAAGATATTTCAGAATTGTCAAAACGATGATTACAAGTGTAGGAGTTTGTATATCTCACAAATAAAAACACGTGCTCACAGATTTTCACACTCTCACTGTATTTATGCTCATTACCAACTGATTTCATAAAGGTCTAGAACTGTCTGTTGATCAATTTTTGCCTTGACTTCAAGCTGACAGTCTCATTTTGTTCGAATAAGTTCCAGTGGTAGAGTTTCCACTGCCGTCTGAAATCAAATAAGACAGTGTCGGGTATGGCAAAAAGATTGTAAGTGCAATAGAAACTTGGAACGCTACTCACCCACATTCTTGGGGCAGTTGGATCTGATTTTGAATGCAATTTGGATGACTCCGATTGGAAGGTTATGACAATCAGAACTTTGAACTCCACCGAGAATGGACTGTATAGCCAAAAAAATTGCAGATAGTAGTGTCAGCCAGCGTCAGCCATAGCATCTATTATCCAAACTTCTGAAACTCACCCAGCTAAGACGGTTGGACAAGTTAAAAGACGGGGGAGAACAACGTGGATTGGCAAAGTCACGTTACGACAGACATCTCCATCAGCTATCTAGAACAGAATTAGTAACAGATATTAAATGATATCTCATGTGTTGAAGCATTTCAAAAAGACGTGAAAAACCCAACATGCCTGAGTAGTCTGTATCAAGGAGGTTTCAGTTACAATTTTATCCCCAAGAAGAATCGACTCCTCACGAAGCAAGTGAATGTCAATGGAAGAAATGGGAACTGCAGATACTTCTACAGTTAACTCACCACTGATGGGATCTAACAAAGAACACAGAGTTGAAATTCTTCCAGTAACTCGAAAGCCACCTGTTCAGCCAAAAAACTTTTCATTAGAATTTATGTGATTGCTCACTACCACATTTTGAATGGTAAGAGGCTACATAAATGAGAAAAGTTAAATGAATGGCAGTTGAACTACCACATGATACAATCTTTTATGGTAATATGAATAAGAAATCAGAAGTTTCTGGCTTCAAGAATTAAACTAGAACTAGATTGAGGACGTGGGACAGATTGAATAAAAAAACAAACCCGATTTTAGTACAGGAAGTAAAGGATGTCTTTGAGTGTCCTGAGTGATGTAAAAGATAACCATTTCAGGAGAGATCTGTTGCTCAAAGATATCAGCTGAAAACAGAACAGAAAAGGAAAAAGAAAAGGAAGGCTAGATCAATTTCATGTGCATGTTTCTCAGAAACAAACAAACAAACCAAAATCTTGTTCCAGACCCTTATCAGTTTCTATGATGAACTCCATTGTGGCAGATAATGATTTGTGCAGGTATCCTCTTGTTATATCTACAGTTAGCAAATACTATCACAAGATGGATAATCAGAGAGAGCTCCACAATAATCTCAACAAGAAGATTAACAAGTAAAAGTTGGGGCAGGCAGGATTTCTTGCAAGAAAATATGTACCTGGATGCTAATGTTTGATCCATGAAAGGTTTCATAGAACTTTTCTAAGTTATCTTCCCCAGGTTTTCTCAAAATTATGGAGAATGGAATCTGTCCGTGTAAAGTGAACAAAAACTATAAGCTGAAAGGAAAGGTTTGGTAGCTGCAGTCAACAAAATAAATAACAAAGAATGCTAGATGAAGTCATGAGGGATTAACACAGCAATCTTATGAGGTATCTGCGAAAAGGGCAGACAAGCATGATACCATACAAGCGAACAAATATTTAATAATATCAAAGAGGAAAATAAAAGACAATGCAAACAACAAATAGAATCACCATGCTAAAGCCTAAAACAACTGGCCACACAAGGAAAGCAACCTTCTGGCGATACAAATCACCAGGCAACACCAAGTGACTCAGTGAGAGAAGCTAAAAGAGTTATATTCATATATTTCCATAACACCAGCTGCAATTACATTGTTCAACATTTTAGGAAATATAAAGTTGAAAAATACACAAACAGGTATACAGTACGGCAGAATGCAAATGCGTGTCATAACTATACTAATTTTCGATCAATATACTACCTCTATTGTACCTGAAGCAATCTTTCCAGAAGGTTTGATCTCAAGGCTCTTATTCCTGTTGTAGAAACAACAAAAAGAAAAAATTGACTTGTACTGATATCCATATTCCATATCAGTACCAAAAAAAAAAGGGGGGAACGGGATTGAGTCTAAAATATGATTTCGCCATAAATCCACAACAATAACATAGTGTGACATGGATAACAAGCTACAATCTAAGTCATTTTAGAGATATTACCTCAAACATAAAATGTAACTTTAAACAAATGCTTTACTGCCAACTAAAAACCAGGGGAAAGTAGTATGTGACTGAAAACCATTTAAAGTACTAAGTCTAACTTCTTTTTTATGCTTGCAAGAACTAATCATGCAGTATTCATGACCAGCCTTAGCTGACACTGACTGTGGATGTAGTGGGACTTGTGGTAATTCTATGAAATACCCCAAGTGCGAAGCATATTTTAATGCCACAAAGCAGGCTGAGGTCCAACCTTCATTCGATGTTAATATTCTCAATTGTTTGAAGCCCAAGCCATATATGAGCAACCGTCCAACATAAGACAATGAGAATTATAGAGAATTTGCCGTAACTAAGAAAATCAAAAAGAATGATGAGCATTTCCAACTGTATTAGAATGATAAGCCAGCAAATATTTTAGCCTAAACATTGATATCCTATAAAATCACTTATGTGCTTTCTGCCAGGCTGCATTATAGCCTTCAAAGTTCTGCCTTATGTGTTAGGCCACAAATACTATGGAAAAAAGTTCTCAATCTGACAGAAGGTGGCACCTAGCAATCACTTCATTTCTCAATCGTGTAGAATACCTACCATGTTAATCTAACTTAGAGAAAATTTAATTTTTCCTATCTATAGCAGCCATCAACAAATCTTCTTGTGCAATTCTCACCCTTATTGTCGTCATAGTCAAGCTAATAATCCAATACAACATTTAAATGTAGATACTCTGGATAGCATCCAAAATGCTTCCAAACTCGAGCCTCTGGAGAAACCATCAACCTAGAACATCCTTTTGAAGTGTAGAATCATAAATGAAATATAAACCATGTAATCATTTTGAAAATTAACTTTAACAGAAAACATCTCAGAACCTAAAGGACCCTGCTTCCAACACCTACTCCAACATCACCAAAGTTTCAACTTTCAAGTGTTTTCTGCCGCACCCCTTTGTTGTAACACCCACAATCACACGTTAACAAGATGGTTAATCAATCTACCGGCACTACAACAAACAACAAGAAGAAAGCAACTCACACAATAGTAATCGGCCTTACAACACCATAAAAGGACTCGATAACCCCAGCCGATCCTCCACGAACCTACAAAGGACAATAAGATATAAGAAAAGCAAAAAGGAAATGAAAAAAACAACTAAAAGGGGTTTGAATTGAAACCTGAAGGTTGACGGATCCATTGACGGTAAGGCGAATTCCATAGTGAGAAATGGAAGAAGCAGACTTCACTAGTATTTTGCCTTCGAGCGGTTCCTGTAGAAATACCGAAATCGGTATTCAATCATCAGATAATTTAGATCATGGGAATTTTAGTAAATACGGAGGAAGAGAGCATACCGAAGGGCGATAGACGCGGTTGAATCGCGAGAGTTTAAGCTCTACTGTTGACATCGTGCCGGCAAAGTCATCCGGAAATATGAATTTGCTTTATCTGAAGGACAAGAGAAGTGAACAGAGTCTCGCAATTTGTCAATAACTGTGATTTAGTCCAGCATGTTTTTTTAAAAAATAAAAGGTTAAACACAAATTTATAACCCGTTTTGTATGGCGGTTTGGGAGTGCTAATTAATAATTTTGTTCAAATTGATAAAAATAAATATTTAGTTAATTTATTTATTTTGAAATTATTGTAAATTAAATGCTTGATAAAATTTTTTATGTAGTAATAATAGATAGCGATTAGAATCCAAACCATTGGTGAATTAAAAAAACTACTAAAAGTCTGTTTGGTATAGTAATTTTGAGGTAATCATTAGTTGTTTTACCCAAACCACTAAAAATAAGTTTTTAGTAAATTTATATATTGTAAAACCACTACAAATTGGGTGTTTGATAAAAATTTTTATTTAGCTATTTAGGACTAACAAATAGCAGTTAGAGTTCAAATTGTTAACAGATTGAAAAGGTTAGATTAAATAGTTTTTTGTATCAAACCGCTACCAAATTGAAATTTTTTAATTTTATTAATATATTTATCCAT